CTTATCTTTGAATTAAAACGGGAGAAAACAAAATATTAGAAAAAATTTAAATCATATGATTGTAGAAGTCTACTTGACAGCTCAAAAAGAAAGGCTTTTTTTAGCTGAGCAGAGGCAAGTGATCTCTAAATTCAAGAACAGCCTAGTCTACATAGAGTTCCAGAACAACCAGGACTACAGAAAGAACCTGTCTCAAAAGGAACAATAAAGAAAAAAATGAAAGTAAGAAAGAAAAAGGAAAAGAAGAAGTAAACACTTTTAGGCTTTAAACTAAAAATAAAGATTGCCACTATTACCACCATGGGTTTCCAAAGGATCCAGCCATCGTAAATTACAAGTATGATCATTTTCTCACCCAAAATGTAGTAATCATCAAATGCCAATCTAAACATAGCCTTATTCTCATTACATCACCTAATATAAATAAGTTATTTATAAAGTTATTAATGTAGTTACATCGTATCAAAGCATATGGGTTTAACAAAGTTAAATACCTATTGATACTATGCCTTTAAAAGAAAAAAAAAAAGTGGCAGGAGAGATGGTTTAGCAGTTAAGAGCACTCACTGCTCTTGCATGGCAAGAGTGCAGTTCCACAGAGCACGTGATGCTTGTCTTTAATCCCAGCACTCAGGAGGCAGAAGCAGGTAGGGATCTCTGTGAGTTCAAAGCCAGCCTGGTCTACAAAGTAAGTTCCAGGATTGCCACAGCTGTTACAGAGAAAAACCCTGTCTCAAAGAAAAAAGAAAAAAATTAAAATAAAAAATTCAGTTTCCACTATCTGTCTACTCAGAGCAGCTCACAACCACCTGTCACTTCAGCTCCAGGAAATCTAGTGCCCTCTTCTGGCCTTTTCAGTCATTCATGTAACTGCACATATACACCTACCTTAAAATAAGAGTATTTTAAAAAAAAAAAAAAAACCAACAAAAAAGAAAAAATATATGGCTAACTAAAAAAGAACTAAGCAGAGTGTGCCCTGCTACAGTAGCACTTGGTGTATATGGCACATTTGTCCTGGCACCCAGGAAGCTTCGGCAAGACCTTTGAGCTGACCAGCCTGGGCAACACAGGGAAACTCCATCTCAAAACAAAACACAACAAAATGAATTGAAAAACATAAAAGGAGGGAAAAGACTAAATATATGCTCACTATGTCATAAACAGAATGATGGTACAGGGCATGGTAATATAAGCCTATAGTCCCAGTTACTAGAGAGAGAAAACCATGAGCTCCAAGATGACCTGAGCTGCACAATGAGACTCCTGTCTCCAAAAGAGTGGATGTGTGGGTGGGGTGGGGTGTGATGGGGGGTGTTTGTGTGTGTGTGGGGGGGGGTGTTTTAAAGGGCTAGTGCATAGATCAGGAACAGAATACTTGCCTAGCACATGCCAGGCCCTGAGTTAGACTGCAAGAGAATTCTAAGTTTAAGGAAAGCCAGAGCTATATACACAAGACCCTGTTTATTTTGGTTTGGTTTTTAGAGTGAGGGTCTTGCTGGATGTTGGTGGCACACACCTTTAATCCCAGCACTAGTGAGGCAGACAGAGGCAGATCTCTGTGAGTTCAAGACCAGCCTGGTCTACAAGAGCTCGTTTTAGGACAGCCTCCAAAGTCACAGAGAAACCCTGTCCTCAAAACAAAAAAAAAGAAAAAAGATGGGGGAGGGGAGGTCTTACTATGTAGCTCTGGCTGTCCTAGAACTCACTATGTAGATCAGACTGGCCTCAAACATACAGAAACCAATCCGACTCTGCCTCCTGAAATGTCAAGATCAAAGGTGTACACTACATCTCACTCCCCAAAGCAAATTTTTTAAATGACCATCTGATGACAACTAGGCAACTAGTATAATTGGAAAACACTGTTAATATCATCCCAAAGCCTTAAATTCTGTAAATGGACTTACACCAAGAAATAAGAAAACATTCTACAACTAACCTGAGGATATGTATGCTTATAAATCAAAAACCATAAAAGGCTAGTAATAGGTTGACTGTACAAATTAATGTGTGATCACTAAATTCTTGAAAAATACTTATTACAGAAAATTCTTCTGAGACTCTGTTTTTGAAACCTGTTTATCTCCCCCCCCCCCCCCCTG